AGACAATTCTTATTTTGCAGTGCTGGGTTTAGGGCCCCTGGGCATTTCCTTAGCAGAACAAATGCTTTTCTTTCCAAGAAGAATTGAAAGAAAGAAAAAAACCCCAAACACTATTAGTGTTTGATTAAAAGAAACAGGCCAAAGTGGCTCCCTCTTGCCTTTCCCCACAATGTCAGAATGACCTCCCTAATTCCAAAACAAAGCCAAAAAGAAATGGTAAAAGACTTGAGGGAGCAACAAGTCTTGCTTGGAGAAGGTCAAGAAGGAACAAACTGGAGGTGGGAAATCTCAGTTCAGTTCATAGCTGATCAAGAAGCCACGTCATAAACACCTGATTAATCCCATGCTGCTTGCAAGGATTTCTAAACTCCGGGTATTGTTAGGGGTAGGGGACAAGCTGTAACCGGGAAGAAAACCCGATGTCTATTTTGTGAAAAGGGGAAACAAGCAGGGAAGGCATTCATGGAGCTCCATGGGAGCCCAGAGTCCCCCTCCTTGGGATTTTAGACAGCGTGTGATTAGACCTTGGAAACCTCTGTATTCTGGGGCAACTCTCTGGTTCCACACGGCAAGTCTCCATTGTTACAAAGAATTCGCCGAGTCTATGGATTAGGTATGCATTCAAATTACACAAATCCCTTTACTTAAGGTGGGGGCTGATTGTCCAGGGTTGGTAACATTACCAAGGCCAGCTCCAGATTCAGGGGGGCACCTGGGCAAGATGCCCTTCATGCCCCCCTTCCCAAGTAAGCTGCTCTCAGGGGTGCACATGCGCACACACCTGCCTGGAAGCACGGAGTGGAGTGATGACTTTCATTTTCATGTCCCTTTCTGCCCTTCTTAGGCCACTGCAAGTACCCTTGTCCTATCAGGTCTGAATAGGGTTGCGAAGTCTTTTTTACTCACCGGTGGGGGAGCGTTGCCTCGGTCCGGGAGCTGCCCGTGGATGCGCGCACACGCAAAGCGCCCCCGCGCCCCCAGAATGTCACAGGAAGTGACACACGACGTAGAGCACGTTGGGGGCGTGGCCCAGATCGTCGGGGTTTCCCCCCCCCGACGATCTGGGCAACGCCCCCAACGTGAGCAATGTGGCTGCGTCACCTCTGGTGATGCAGCTTCGGGGAGCGGAGTTCTTCCCGGGGCCCGATTCCGCCACGGCGGAAATCGGGCCTCCAAAGCGGGGGTTTCCCCGCCCCCCACCCCCACTTGGCAGCCCTAGGTCTGAAATGGACTGTACAGGAAGCTCTTTTGCAACCTGTTATGGACTCAGGGGCATTGGGTTGGATAGCGGTTATTATTATTATTATTGCCTTACTATAATTATGTATTAAATCTGTGGATCGCCCAGCCCCGTGAACGGGCTCTGGGCGATTTACAACCTCAAACAAATCAAACAGTTAAACTATAATCAGCCTAATAAAATTATCATAATACATTAATACAACAACCACATCAGATGGCCATCAACCCCCTTTGCTGGTTGCAGTGCCCTCTGCACAGCAGGGCAGGGCAGGGGACGTGGGGGGCCACAGAAGTAAAGAAGGGTGCCAGTCCTAAACGTTGCTATCCTCAACCAAAAGCCTGATGGAACATCTTCGCCTTACAGGCCCTGTGGAATCGTATAAGATCCCGCAGGGCCCTTATGCTGTTCGGCAGAGAGTTCCACCAGGTTGGGGCCAGGACCGAAAAGGCCCTGATCCTAGTCGAGGACAGCTGGACCTCCATGAAATTGCTGAGCGGTCGGCTTAGAACGGATAATAGGAAGTACTTCTTCACCCAAAGAGTGATTAACACTTGGAATTCACTGCCACAGGAAGTGGTGGCGGCTGCAAGCATGGACGGCTTCACAAGGGAATTAGATAGGCATATGGAGCAGAGGTCCATCAGTGGCTATTAGCCACAAGGTATAGATAGGGGCTCTGGGGCAAGTGATGCTCTGTCATCTTGGTGCTTGGGGGGGTCAACAGTGGGAGGGCTTCTAATGTCCTGGCCCCACTGGTGGACCTCCTGATGGCACTGGTATTTCTAGCCACTGTGTGATACAGAGTGTTGGACTGGATGGGCCTTTGGCCTGATCCAACATTGGCATCTCTTATGTTCTTATGTTCTTACGACCTCCTTAGGGCTGGGGATCACCAGTAAGTTGTTATCCGTTGATCTCAGTGTTCTTCTGGGGTCATATTGAAGGAGGCGGTCCCGAAGGTACGTGGGTCCCTGACTGCTCAAGGCCTTAAGTCAACACTAATACCTTGAACCTGACTTGGTATTCCACCAGTAGCTAGTGTAGCTGGCGCAGCACAGATTGTATATGTGCTGTCCATGGCGTTCCAGCTAGGACTTGTGCCACTGCAATCTGAACCAGTTGGAGCTTCCGGGTCAGTCTCAAGGGCAGGCCAGCATACAGTGAGTTACAGTAGTCCAATCTGGAGGTGACTGTTGCATGGATTACCGTGGCCAGGTCGGAGGGCGATAGGAAAGGGGCCAGCAGCCATGCCCAATGTAGGTAGTAGAACACTAGTCTGGCAGTATTGGTGACCTATACCCATCACATCCTCCCATGCCCCCTTCTGCAAATCTGGTACTGTTTGAATCATTCGGGCAGTGTTACAGTCCTCCCCATCAATGCTGGCAAGAGTAAAAAAAATATATATGAAAGGATCTGGCCTTGCTGGTGGACCTCCTGATGGCACCTAGGTTTTGCCGCTTTGTGACATAGCGTGTTAGACTTTATGGTCTGGGACCAACATATCTACAGGACCACCTCTCCTGACATAACCCCCAAAGAGCATTATCCTCCTTAGGCAACAACACACTGATGGTCCCAGAGACAAAGTTCATTTGCCTGGCCTTGACTCGAGCTAAGGCCTTCTTGGCGATAGGTCCTGTTCTATGGAATGCACTTCTAAGTGAGAGCTGGGCCCTGTGGGACTTTGCTCAATTCCGCAGGGCCTGTAAATTGGAACTGTATCGTCTAGCATATTGGTGAGACCAGGGAGTTTTATTTATATACTACCCTCTGTTTTTCCCTCCCCTCTCTCCCCAGGAACAGTGCAACAGTTTTTACACCATCTGGTTAATTGTCTGACTTTATAGTTATAGTTTTATTGTTTTAAACTTCTTATTTATGTTGTAATCCACTCTGAGCCCTACAATCGTGAGGAAGAGCTCTCTCTGTCTCTGTCTCTCTGTCTCTCTGTCTCTCTGTCTCTCTGTCTCTCTGTCTCTCTCTCTCTCAAGGCAGTGATGCTCTGTATTCTTGGTGCTTGGGGAGCAACAATGGGAGGGCTTCTAGAGTTCTGGTCCTGCTGGTGGACCTCCTGATGGCCCCTGTGTTTTGGCCACTGTGTGTGACACAGAGTGTTGGACTAGAAGGGGCATTGGTCTGATCCAACATGGCTTCTCTTATGTTCCTATCTATATCTATCTATCTATCTATCTATCATCTATCAATCTATCTTTTGGGGCAGTGATGCTCTGTATTCTTGGTGCTTGGGGGGCAACAGTGGAAGAGCTTCTGGAGTTCTGGCCCCACTGGTGGACCTCCTGATGCCACCTGAGTTTTGGCCAGTGTGTGACACAAAGTGTTGGATTAGATGGGCCATCGACCGATCCAACATGGCTTCTCTTATATTTTTATTTTCTTAGTGCTACCTTGTGACATCTCTCCCAGCATGAAGTGGGAAATCGACCTAGACACCCCCAGACTTTGCAGGGGCCCTCCTGGTGATCTCTCTTTCCTGCGGGAAGTGGAGCGGTGAAGCACCTGAGGCTTTACACTCCGCTGGTCTGATCTGCCTCCGTGAATGAAACCTCCCCCCTTCTTTGCACTAAAATGGTATTCCTGACAATCTGCTCTCCCACTTTGCATAAGTAGATTACCATTATATGGGACAATTTCAGTACTTTTTAAATGGGCTCAACATATCTAAATGGCAGCTACAACGCATCATCGGCAAGGGATGGGGCAGAGCCAGCAACGTGGAGTGCTAGATGGACCAGCTCCTCTGCCTTCAACAGTGGTCTCCTTGCAGAGATATAGCAGCTCACATTTCTCTTGGCATAGGGATATAGGTGTCCAAAGGATTTTACACGCTGAAAGCATAAGAAGAGAGCTAGAAAATGCATGTCTGACTCCCAGATATGGGTGGTGTTCACCTGTACTTGGCTGCCTGCACCTCAAGGGAGGGGGAAAGATGCATTCCATCATGATAACCAAAGGTTCTTTTGGATTGCATCTCTGCAAAACACAGGACATTCCCTAACGTCTTCTTTATGAGCATTTTGGAGAAGGGACTGGTCACGAGAACAGACTTGCTAGCAAATGGGCATCAAAATGACCAGCACCTGCCTTCCTACATTGCTAAACAGCCTGGTCCCCTAGTGTACGATGCCTCGTGCTTTCAACCGGATGCCACCTGGTTGCTCAAACCCCACAGAGACCTAAGAGGAAAAAGGGGATCACGGGAGAATGACGGGGGAAACCCACCACACGGTGATATTCCCCTGTTAAAAATTAGTTTGGAAAGTTACCCTGAGTTAGCACGACCAGGGCCTTAATTTAAAAAAAAAAAAAAATTCTGCACAGAGAAAACCTGCATATATTTGCATATTATCCTTGTTTTGAATAATTTATTCAAGTCATGGGGAGGGGCAGGAAGGACTGAAGTCCTTCTCCTGAGCTAGAAATCTGGTTTAGAAGCACATCCCTCTGCGGAGATTTCATCAAGCACCTCCCATACATTTTTACGCGTATCTATTTGATCAACAAGACTAGAACCTTGTCTTTTAAAGAATGAAATCTGAGCTTCCCAGGAAGATGGATTTTTGCTACTTATACTACATTCTATCTCTTCCCCAAACTTAACACAAAATTGAAGAACACATGCTTATACTTCGTGGTTTACTAAATACAATCCGCTATGGCCCCTTTTCACATGCTCATTTAGCTCTATTCTCTTACAAAGGGATTTTTAAAATCAAAATAGTCTACTCCCACTTACCTGCCGACGTCTGCTTTAGTTTCTCATTTTTCTTTTTCCTCCATTTCCATGGTTTGAAAATCCTGCCCAATGTTGCAAGCTTGCTGTTCCTTCGGACGGGAGGAGTTCGAATCCCTGAGACCAGATATTCGGAACGCACTGCAGGGGACTGATCCATGTCCTCTAAAAAGGAAAAAGGAAACCAACAAGTCCAATGGTTAAAGAAAGAACAAAAAATATCAAAGAGGCTGAAAGAAAAGAAAGTTTGATCCTCGAGCTGTAGGAAACAACGCGAGAAGGTAAAAGAATTAGTTGCCACCGAATTTTGTTCCAGTGAAATTTCAAGGTTCCTGTGTGAGATACACTTTTGAGGAATTTCTAGGAAGCAAAAAATATTGTCAATTAGAGATATTTCTTAAGGGAGGTGACTTTGAATTGGGTGAGTCTTCCTGGCAGTCGCAGAAAAAAATGAATGCTGGTGGTTATGCTTTTCCATACCTGTCATCTGCCTCCATGTATCCTTCTGTCTCCTGTATCTGGCATGTGGAATTCGCTGACAGAGGATGCAGCGATGGCCAAAGGCAAAAAGTAGCTTTAAAAGGGGATTAGACAGATTCATGGAGGATAGGTCTAACAATGGCTTCCAGCCATGGTGACTAAGGGAACCTCCACATTCAGAGGCAGTCAACCTCTGAATTGCAGTGCTAGGAGGAAACTATTGAGATATATGTCCGAGTGATAGAGGTAGCAAGCAGTTACTATAGATCCGTTTGATCTGTTTGTCAGACCTAGCTGTCATGCTAGTAATCATGTAATTACAGCCAGGTGTTTTCTAGCAGGTGTTACTCTTTCAGGTCTTGTTAGAGTTAGTGATTACATCATCTTGTTAGAGATTGGCTGGGGTTTAGCATAATAGCTATCAGTTTAGTAAGCTGGGACTCAGTTCTCATAGACTAAGGCACGACATGCTGTTCAATAGCCTGTAAATATCTCTGTATATATTCACCTTTATAACTATATAAACTCTCTGTGCACCTTCATAACTGGTCAGTTTCCCGCTTCTTATTTACAATACCCAATAGAAACATGGGGAAAACCTTGACTTCTATGCCCTGTGGTTGGACCTCCAGAGGAACTGGTTGGCCACTGTGTGAGACAGGATGCTGGACTAGAAGGACCACTGCTCTGATCAAGCAGGGCTCTTCTTATGTTATCATGTTCTCCCGCTAGCACAGTGAGGAGACTTGTGCTGTTTTACTGATGTGCATAGACACTCTGCACAACCTGTACGTACAGTGACCTCAAGATGACTCATTTGCAGTGTTCTGCTGATCTCACACATCCACAGTAATGTCTGGGGGAGGGACATATGGGAGAACTAGTTTCAAATCCTCATTCTGCCTTGGCCATCACTCTCTCTCCACCTAAACTACCTCATATGATTGTTGTTGTGAGGATAAAATGGAAGAGAAAAGGACAATGTGGTCGCCAGATCTGGGTCTCCCCTGGGGAGAAAAAAAGGGGTACAAGTAATAAATAAAAAATGAACGCGAGCTGAAGGAATGAAAAGCAGCGGCCAATTGATGGAGAATTCCTGATGCATAAGACCAACTTCAGGAACAATGGCAGAACTCTAAACTTCAGAACTCTGATATCCTACGGACAATTTCAAGAAGTATTCCTAGGAGAGGACTTGCTCTGTAAATATTTCTGCTCCCGTTAGAAGCCATAAATTCTGTCTAGAACCAGTTCCCTTGCTACACTGGCTATCTTCTTGGGAGTCTGGGGCTGCTGAAGAAATTCTTCATTAAGTGCAAAGAAATTATAAGACCTGGACTGAACTTTGCCTGAAGTAAAATTTCAAAACAGAGTTTGAATTTGTGTACAAGCACACACAGATACATGCCTTAAAACGCACACAAAGAAATGCTATAGAGTAAACTGTTGGCTATGAAGACGTGAAGCAAGCAGATATCTCTCCCCTCACGTACACTTCCTCCCCTCTTGTTCTGGGGGGTTTCCTAAGTCACTGCAACATCTACAGATATAATGCATTCTCACTTTTCAGCCCAGTGGGGACTCACAGTGGCTTACACCATCATTCCTCTCCATTTTATCCTCACAACAATCCTGTCAGGTAGGCTAAACTGAGTCCATGTGACAGGCCCAAGGTCACCCAACAAACTTCCATGTAAGGATGCCAGCCTCCAGGTGAGGCCTAGGGTCCCCTGGAATTACAGCTCATCTCCAGACTACAGAGATCACTTCCCCTGGTGAAAAATGCTTTGGAGGGTGGAGGGTGTACCCCACTAAGGTCCCTGTCATCCCCAGGTTATATTCCCAAATCTCCAGGAGTTTCCCAACCTTGAACTGGCAACCCCATCCCCTCCATCGTCTATCAGTGACCAGGAGGGCCTGGCAACCATACTTCCACAGCAGAGTGGGGATTTGAACCTGGGTCTGCCAGATCTTAATGCAACACTCTTAATCACTACTCCAACACAGGATGAGAGATTCCCCATTGCACCACAGACAATGAAGAGCAAGAACACATTTGATGGAATAACTTTGTGCTTCACTTCAGACTAGAAGTGGAACCAAAGCAGGATTGGAAGCTGAGGCCAGACGTACAGAGAAGGAGAAGACGAAGAAGAAGAAGACAGAGAACAAGAAGCAGATGAAGAAGATGAAGAAGAGGAGGGGGAGGAGGAGGAGATTGGATTTATACCCTGCCCTTCACTACCTAAAGGAGTCTCAGAGCAGCTTACAATCTCCTTCCCCTTCCCCTCCCCACAACAGACACCCTTGTGAGGTAGGTGGGGCTGAGAGAGCTCTTTTGAGAATTGCTCTTGAGAGAACAGGTCTGACAGAACTATGGCTTGTCCAAGGTCACACCAGCAACTGCACGTGGAGGCGTGGGGAATCAAACCTGGTTATCCCAGATTAGAGTCCAAACTGACTCACCACATAACCTCATCAGCTCTCGATTAATTGTGCCAGCCTCCTCATCCTTCCTCGTATTTGCCTCCAGAAAGACCTCATTTAGACCGCTGAATAATAAGTCTTGGTGTGACCATCAATTTCATTAATAGCTCGGAGGCATTGTCAGGGGAAGTAAGGGAGAGAGGGAGCCTCATGACACGGACCTTCCTGCCAGTCTCTTAAAAGCAAGAAGCGGAGAGCCATCGATACCAGGGGTAGGTGGCGTTCTTGGGATATCAACGTGGGCGCCAGTGGATTACTTCCCGAGAGCAATGCACACATCCATCACCCACTCTGACGGGGTGGGGTGGGGTTGAGAATTATAAGGCAATTTGCATCTTTATTTCGACAACCCATAAAATTTAAATGAGTGATACTGCACCCACTCTCGAGCCATTTGTTTCTCCTATAATAATAACTTTGTAATAATTTGCCCTTTTTTGCGAGCGCCGTGTTTAAGACAAACAACCCGACACCAGAGACTTCATTTGATCATAAACAGGCAAGTAAATGAAATAATGGTTTGAGTTCTTATCTGAAGAAGTCAGACTTACAAGAAAATGGAAATTATTTTCTTTTTTGAAAGGTTAGTTAAATACTAGTGTTTTAAATAGCTGTTGGGCGGGGCGGGGGAGAAAGCACGCTTACTTCTCGTTTTGAAAAAAACAGTAAGGCAAAGATGAATGGTGAGAAGCTGACAGTTTAAACACAGACTCATTAGTAGAAGTGATGCAAAAACATTCTTTTTCGATGTGCAAAATGGAACAGGGTGGTTTTTAGAAACCTGAAATAAGACGTGTCGCTAAACATGGGCACCGGTTGACTGCTGAAGCTGGGAGTGGACCAGAAAAGATTCAGCTCTGTTGTGGCTCAAAAACAAAATGGGATGTGTACTCCCTTAGGTCCAAACTATACATCAAGATTCCTACCATGTACCACCTGCATTCCCCCGACCTGACAATGACTCAATTTTCACGTCAGGTGTAGGGGAACTTGTTTCTGTTGGAGTGAGTGACACAGCATGCCTGGACACTGGGGGGCACTACATCTCGCAGGGTTCTTTTTGTAGCAGGAACTCCTTTGCATATTAGGTGACACACCCCTAATGTAGCCAATCCCCCAAGAGCTTACAGAGCTCTTCTTACAGGGGCTACTGTAAGCTCTTGGAGGATTGGCTACATTAGGGGTGTGTCACTGAATATGCAAAGGAGTTCCTGCTACAGAAAGAGCCCTGTTAGGTGTTGCCTCCTTGAATAGGAAGCCTCTCTTTGTCTTAACCTGGGAGTTGCCCTCTGACTTCCCCTCTCTCACTTTGTCCTCTCACTCACCTACGTGGCTTTCCATGGAGACACATGTCTCTGCAGGACTCTCTGCAGAAACAGTGCCCTCATACTCCCACGTACATGATGCCGGACAAGCTGGCCGTTTGTGCTAGAGAAAGCACTTGTTACATTAGGCCTATCTCTCTCCCAGAGGTCATTTCGGGATGGATCGCGGGGGATCGCAGTTCCCCGGGTGAGGTACAGGGGGGTGGGTCACATGACGAAGC